TGCTCTCTTGATTAATGCAAGATGGGATCATTATTTGTGTGCCTCAATGAAGAACATTGCTTGCACAGGCACTACTCTTATTACTGGTTCTAATCTATCAGCGGGGTTTTAATGTCCATGTCATCTAATGACACAAATAATCATAATTATAAGACATTTCCCTTCTATATGTGAATTACTTGGATAACGACCTGCTTTACTGATGTCTCCCTCTCTCACAGGCTTCCATGAAGACAACTCAGAAATATTTTCTGTCTGCCCCCCCTTAAAGAAATGAGCTAATCTGTGCACTCTTCTTCCAGATGTTTTGAGCTTCTACTTAGTGGAACTCGGGAAAGTACCTTGTGGCTCGCTGAAAAGGGAGAACTCAGCATCAATGGCATTCCGTGGGAAGGAGGGTAACCGGAGAAGGTCCTCCTGCAGCAGGGAGACGTGGGATTGTTTGTGCACGGCAGGCATGTGTTGGGTGAGGGATATTAAGAACAGCACACGCCCCACTTCCTCCAGCTTCCGGGAAAACACCTGGGGAGAAGAATTGCCAGAGAAGGGATTGACAGAGGTAGAGAACATTTTCTCTGCACAGTAAAGAGCATTGCTAACAAGTTCACTGACCTCCTTGTACACCATCCTTGAATGGAATGTAAAACTGAGAGTTACTCGTGTATTTCCATTACAAGTTGCACTACCTGCAGCAGTGTACGGCCAAATGACAACTTTCAGAAAAGGAGAACCTTCTTTATATCAAAGTTTGTGAGTGTTTGCTGTAATCTAGCCACGTTTTTCCTTCTTGAACTCCTTCAAGAAACTGTTTGACAAGATTCTTGGAAAATTGCTTCTAAAATTGCTCCCTTGCATCAGTCATTTTGTTGTGTTCCAATATTAGAATATGCAGTTCATGACAGTCTTTGACGTTTGTTAGTCCTGTGTTGGTCAGTTTCAACACTGTAGTGTTGTAACTTAATATAAACAGTCACCTGTTTCTGGATCAGCTCCTGGCCTTTTTCTGGAAGCATGTGCACCAGGTTGAGCTGGGGAGACACAGATCTGCGGAAGGGATAAATGTCGCGCACATATGTCTGCAGAAGAGAAAAGACACCAGGCATTGAAAAGGGCAAATCCTACAATCTTCTTTCTTAATGCTGTTGCAATCAGAAACAGAGATGTGAATTTTCAAGCAGTACATAACTCAAGCCACATGGGAGAACCAACACAAGCTAATTCGTTTTAATAAAACATGTCAATGACAATATACTTTATATGAATTCTATAAATTCCATTAAAGAAAAACAAAAATTATTTGTAGATTGACTTCTTTCCAGCAACCAGGTACCTTGGAATAATGAATGAGGTTCCAGCGCTTATCCATGAGAAAGTAGTGTGCAGAACGGGCCTCAGGGATATTGAAGAACTCCAGACATTCCTGAAAGGAGCAAGACAGCCGTATTACTACTCAGAAACAGTTTATGGGCACCTTGAACTAGGATATAATCTACACAGTTTTCCCCCAAAGACCTGAGGATGAGTCAGTCTTAATCAGGAGAGATTAAAAGGGATTTTCCAACTAGAAACAAATGAGCAATAAAGCAAAAAAAAAAATTACCTTAAACTGAACCAAGGCCTCTGTACGTAAAGGCAAGACCGAGAGCTGAAAAATGATGCCAATGACTGGGCTTGGAGGGTTGAACGATGGCATGGCAATTAGCTCCTTGTGTCCTGTGTTTAATGTGGAGCTTGCGTGATCTCTACTGTCACATTCATTGGGTTTTCAAACTACAGTCCAAAAAGATGCTGGCTACTTTAATTGGAATTTTTAATTTGTCCCCATGTGCTGGTGTGCGTGTGCGTGTGTGCTTAAAATGGCTTCTCCTCTAGGGTGCAGCTTGATCCCTGTGCTAGCAGGATAGGCTCTTGGAGCTCCAGGCATCATTGAGCTTGGCCACAAGGGGGGGTACGGAGCTGCTGGTTTAATGGGGATGAAGGAATGAGATATTACAAGCATTAAAGCCAGGGAGAAAGAAACAGAAATGATTTTCGTCTTCAAAGAATTGCTGGATTACACGATGCTCTGGGTCCACAGAGATGAAGGGCTTGCCTGTCAGCTGCCAGCCCAAAGATAAACTGGCTGCTGCATCCACCAGTCAACCCAACCAAAACCCAAGCAGTCACACAATGTTGTGTTGTGGTACCTTGAGCAGGGCTTCGAACTGCGTGTCCTCGTGCACAGGCAGCTGTGTGGGAATGTCACACTCGTTCTGGCCGTGCACCACCAGCGTCTTGGTCCCTGGAGCCACAACACACCCAGTTAAAGCATTCATGGCCCAGCCATCATTTGCACTGAC